GCCAGAAGGGTTCAACTATACTATAGGTGCTAAAATATACTAGTAAAAAGTAGCCCTTTGAAGACACCAGTTTTTGTAAAACTCACTTTAAGACCATTAAATCATTTGCTTCCAATAGAAAAAAAGTTCAGGTCCAAGTCTTAAACTATGGAAAATTACCAGGTTTAACCTTTAACAATCCCCAGAGATTAATTAACTTCCTCTTACTGTTAGTCTGTCACTCTAACCTGCATTAGCTTTTTCCTATGCCACAGACCACCTTTCTTCAAAAAAAAAAAAAAAAGTGTAACAGGCCAGTGGATATGTTGCCCCAAAAGCCAATTACCATATCCATTTACAGCACATGAAGCATGCATACACAAGATTTCCATGAAAGCATGAGGTAGGAGTGGACTGTACACAACCACCCAGTACAGGTGTGCACCTTTTGCAGTGAGTGACTAAATGTAATAAAACTAGATCTGAAAATGTAGGAAGCAAAACTATCGGCTAGCTGAAAAAGCCACACTGCTTTGTTACTACAGACGGGGAAAGTATTACCAATTTCAGATTTGACTGCAAGAGCCTTGAATAGCAACTTCCAGTTTACAAATACTTGTTCAGCTGTGCCAAGACCAATCTAGCAATTACAAAACTTAAAGTATTCTAGGTGTTTCTATTTAAGGCTCCATTTCCAAACCTGCTCCAGCCACATCCCCGTTAACAGAACCAAGAGATAATTACTGTATTGTTAGGTTATTTCTTAGTTAGATAGATATGGATTAGAGATCTGTTGTCTATGAATGGTTAGTGCAGACAGGGTGACTAGTTTGCTGTAACTATTCAGCCTGCAGTGAGGATTGCAGGCACGCCAAGGTTACAGGAAAAGAGCTTTTAGTGTCAACAGTAATGCTAGTCTTAATATTTGTCTTAAAGTGTAAGGTTATGTCCAATTGTTTAGATACACACCACGAAAACAACAGTCACGCACCTTGACTTTTCCTCATGTTTTGGCTAAACGTTATGGCAGCTGCAAGGCTTGCTTATCAGGTGACGTCACGGTTCGACAGCCCAGAAAGGATTAATATTGTATAGCAATGCTTGGTTCGGGGTCTTGCTGCTTCCGGGCTGCTTGGGCAGCCTGGGGTTGGAAGATCTCTGGACTTGGAGTGTTGATGCTTGCCTGTGACTCTTTGAATAAACCAGCACGGTTATATTTTTTATATACTCAAGTGGTCTGAGTCGTCCCTCTGAGTTCCTGGTTTGAAAGAACCGGAAGAAGCTACACAGAAATAATAGCTTATAGTATGTAGGTGATCAGGAGGTTCTGCAGCATAGTCCATGCTTACACCTGAGCAATCCCAACTCCAGTTGCAAAGGAACATTAACCAATTTATTGAAGTCTACCAACTGCAAGTGCATTTGTAGATTGTCACCCATCATGCCAAGCTGCAAAAGCTCAACCCAAATAAATGCTAGTTATCTCCCCCCCCAGCACAAAGAGTGAGGCTGCACAGTTGGGTAACCTGATGTAATTTGGAAAGCAAAAGCTTTAAGGGATGAATAAAACCAAACTAGACCAAAAGTTAGGAAATATTGTTTATTCAAACATTTTCTTGTGCGTTCAGTAGAATAGGTCCAGAAGATGTCTGCTTGTGATGGCTTGGCTCTGGAAAAGAAGTATTCAAGTCATTCACTGCATATCTGACTGTTTGTCCACAGCTTGAAAATAAATCTTACCCCTTAGCAGTCCTTTCCTCTCTTGATGTCTAGAGTTACTTGTGGCTGTGGGATTCACACACTGGCCTCTGCAGGCACCATCCGCTTGGCTGTTTGAGTCACAAATCACTGCATCACAGTGGACATAGATCTGTGGACAAAAGGATTTAATTACACCTATTCTGTAGCCAGATAGGTGTCTCATTGCGATGCATCAATATTTTACCTCATCTTTAAGAACTTGTTCCTCTTTAGTGAAGGTGAACATCTTGATAGAAAAGCGTTTGATGTGGGATGGGATGGCAACCCTGGCATTGCTCACAACAGGATGGAAGACTGTCACGTCACTATCCTCCCCATTTTCACAGCTGTGAAGAAATGAGCTTATTTCTTAATTTATTCTAGTAGCCTTTATATGTGAGAGGAAGACTAACTTTGCAAAGTCATCTTAAACCCTTTATCACAGGTCACTCCTATATGGAACCTGAGTACTTTCAATAGTGCAGATACACTGGAGTAGGAATACTTTAATTTGTGAAATTATGCTAGACATCACCCATCCACAATGAGATCCCAGCTGGGCAGAGATGTCCCATTTTCATGGAGAGTAGCCCAGCAGTCCTCCAAGACAAGCTCCAACTGGGGGTCTGTGGACTGCAGTGCCAGCTCAAAATGTAGAGGCTCCCTCAGGTACTTCATTACTGGATAATCTTCTGCTTGGTAGAAGAGCTCATATGATGAGTCTAGAGAGTGAGAGAGAAAGGTCATTTTGTATGCACCATTAGATTCCTCCCCCATCAAATTTAAATAAGATTATCTCACCTTTAGCTAGCCTCATTTGCACCATTAATTGGCCTGATCCAATCTCTGCTGTGGGTTCAGCATCTCTTGGTTTATAGTTGAATGCAGCCATTACAAGCCCATCAATCACATAGTAACAGGAGATTGTTTGCCTACAAACCAAATCATTAAAACTTAATATGCAACCTCAATAAGACCAGCTCATTCATCAAGATTTAAAATAAAGCCACTTCCTACCTATAAGGAGGAATTGATGTATAGGTTGCTCCTTTTTTGGAATTCAGGCTGATCACATTTTCATACAGCATGTAGTTATCAAAGAACTAAAACCAAACACAAAATCAACACTGGAACTTCAATTTTTTTGTAATTAAGCAGATTGTGAACTTACTGCTCTGGTGGTCCCACAGGAATCAGCAGTGAATGAGAAATAAGCAAAGCGCTCATCACTGAAAACTGGTTTGCAAGATGGGTCCTTTAAAGTCAGTTGGCTTGGAATGAGAGTGGGTACCAATTCCACCTTCACAGCCAGAGCAGTCATTGTTCCATTAGGATAGCATTCTAAGGATAAAGACAACTTGTCAGTAATGCGTTCTGTAGTCAACCACTCAAAACCAAGCATCAACATCTTACTTGTTGTTGTCAAGGGGAAATTGCAGGACAGATGAAGATCATTAAGCATCCAGTTGTTTTTTGAATGCCACAGCAGCACATCGATTCTGGCTTTAAGCCAGTCTGACATGATTAGCTGCAAAACAAGATGGCAAGTTATTCAGTGCAGATATTTTAAGCCAGTTCACAAGTGTGTTAATTGACCTACCTCAAATGTTATGTCCTTAGCCATATATGGCACAATGAAATTGAAGTGCGTGCCATTGTCTTGCAAGCTGTAGACTTCTGACATATCAAAAAATGCTGAACCCCAACCATGGTCTGGAAATTGGGACCTTGACTCCCATATGTCACACTGATGTAAAAGTTGTTCTCATCACAGGTGCCAGTAATTGTGGGTAGCACTGAAAACAAAGCACTACAGTTTTTTTCCCTGCAGTACATTTCAGCTGAATTCTGGGTTACATTTCTCATGCAATTCTGTAGAGAGCAGCCATTATGCTCAAGATACTGCCAAAACCAAATCTCAAACTCACCAACATCTTGCAGAGTTGCCTGCAACTCAACTGGTTGGGCAAACTGCGTTTCTTCTGGAAGGATGATAAACCCAAAGACCAGAGGGAGGGAGTAAACTGTAACCGAGGGTTCTGGATTCTGCAGATTTAAAAAAAAAAGTTTATAAAAGTCATGTCACTGGTCCCACATGCTTTTATAAAGTGAAACTTTCCAGCTCATCACATACATGTTTTAGAACAACATCAGCATCAAAAGGCACTTGTAAAGAGAAGGCCTTTGTTTTATTGGTGAAGTTGTGCTCCTGGATGTTGAAGCTGCTGGCATTGCACTCCTCAACAGTGAGAACCCCCGTAACAAAAGTGATGTTCCTGAGCACCACATCATGAAGAAAGGTCCCCAAGTAAAAACTGAACATCCTGTCCTCTGGGACTGTATCTGTGGAACATACAGTGGCAGGTTTAAGACCAGTCTTCTAAAGTTTCATTAGATATATACACATCTACCAAAAAAAAAAAAAAGGGAACTCAACTGTCTTGCACTTTGAGAGTTTGCTGCATCACAGGGGTGGTAATGGGGAACAAAACCTTGTATCTGGCATCATCCTGGGTTTTATCTGCCCTCCAAAGCACCTCAAACATGGGCTCCACAGTGTAGGTAATGTGGTACTGATAATCTGGGGCATGGCTCTGCAATCATTTATGGCATTTTAATAAGTCATGCAATTAAACTTGTGACCCTAATTTTGCACAACTATACACTTCCCACCTTGTAGTAACCATCAGGAGAGCCCACTGGAATCTCAATGACGATATGAAAGTCTGTAGTAGTGAGTGTGTACCCTTGTGCAGCCATTTGAGATTCATCCAGCCTCTTTCCATTAATGCCCATGTACATTTCTAGGATTTCAACAGTGCTGTCCATCAGTGGTGTCACACGGCGAGGGACATGCCAGGAGATTACATCATCGGTAAAGAGGACTCCACCTGTTAAAGCCCAACTATTAAATCACTGTCAACAGTAACATTCAATATTAAAGTCAAGAAATTTGAAAATACCTGTGGGACAAGCAGCTACCAAGTTTATGACACTCAAACCGTGGTGCGCCTTGTAGTAAGCGCTCACCCGAAAAACTTGCATAGGGACTCCAGCCACCTTAAAAAAAAAAAAAAAAAAAACACCCCATTTAACAGTCAATCAGAAGGAGGAAAGAAGTGCCAGCTAGTGGGATGTGTGTTGCTTACATCCTCAGTAGAAGTCTCTGCTGTATTGTATGGGCTTCGTATAACCAGACGGTTTGAGGTGGTCATGGCACCGTAGCCAGCTTGTTCAGCCTCCTTCAGAGTCATCATTACAGGTTCTGGAAAGTAAAAGGTCACCTTCCAGATGCCCTGTGCTGCACCAGAGCCCTGTGGTAACCAAAGAATTCATTTATCCTCAAATGAGTGCTTCATATGCATTGTTATGGGGATGACAAATGGTGCAGATTAAAGTAAGCCATAATTTTTTTTTTTTTAAAACATACACCAGGAAGGGTGTTGAGCCCATCTTTAACATCCTGAAGCTGCCCCTTAGCTTCAGCATCAAGTGTAGCCAAATAGTTGGACACCTAAAACAGATACCCAGAGATGTTTATACATTTACAGCAATAAAACTACAATATCAATGCAAGATGACCTACTTCCATGTAGTTCCTATCACAAAGAATCTCTCTGGAGGCCCACTGAGAATAGTGGCATGTTTGTGTCACATAGTGAGTGACTACGTCTGATGGGCTCTGGCCGTGCAGTCGGAGCCTCAAGGAAACATTAAATGTTGCATCTTTCTACAAAGAGCAGAAAAAGAACACTTGTTTAAATATTTGAGCTAAATCATATCAATAAATGATTGGCAGCCAATCTCAATCCATTAATCCTTCACAAGTGATCTATGGGAACAAGACAGTTTATTGCTTGGAAATTACTATGAACTCCAAGAAGCCACCACCTAAAAATAAAGCTTAAAGTTCAACATACTTTTTCATCCACATAACAGCCCATTAGAGATGAGTAGATTCTGGTGTTACCCCACGGGTCAGACTCCATGCTATAGCCACACTGAGCAGCCAAGCTGGGTGTTAACACAATGTGCTGGGTGCCATCTGCAGAAAGAGGGTAAACATGACAAGGATCACCTCTCCTAGTGATGAAACAATACATTTATAATTATAAATTTTATACTCACTGATAGCATCCACCTCAAGCTGATTGCCCACTGCTAAAGCCTTGTCCAAAGACAGCCTCATCAGATTACCTGCACAATCTGATTTTAAGCCACTGCCTGTTAAAAGAGGCTGATGAGGAAGAGAGTAAACCAACTTAAAGTGATAATCAATATTTAATGTGAGGTTCTCTTACTTGACTGCAAACTGAGCTTTGGCGTTGCTTGACCCAGGACGATCATTGCAGCCATCAAACTCCATAACAAGCTTGAACGAACAAACAAACAAGATCTAAAAACACTGAAACAGACAGCTAGCACACTTAAATCATTTTTTTTACTTAACTTACATGCTCTTAAGCCGCTGCATGTTGCTATCTGAACACAACCGAACACACAAAAAATCCGATGGGAACCCAGCCACCATCAGTGCTTAGCACTGATACCCCACCTACAAACAACCTCTCAAAGTGACCGGCTGCTTTATTGAGCCATCACCAGCTGTTTCAATCAGTTAATCACAACGCACAGGTGAGGTGCATCAGCCCTCTTCCACTTGCTGCACCCACTGTGGGTGAGCTTCTGTCTGTTTTTTGTGAAGAGTGGAAAATTAGCATATGTTCAATAAATACACATTATTCACTGACGTGTAAACATTTATTGTTCAATGATTTCAAAGGTTTATACACTTGTGTTTAACTTGTGGAAAGCTTTGACTCCAAAGTGCAAAACATGTTTTTCTTTTGCAGCTGAAAGACTCATTATTACTGAACACTAAAACTTAATTAAGGTGTGTTTAAGGTCACAAACCTCCTCCCAGTGGTTTAAGAGGGTGAACTAGGATTTATTTCTGACTAAAACCCAGGCTCATTGTTTTACCTCATGCATCTGGGTTGATTAGTCTTTGCCCTTCACTCACAGACTTATACAGTTATATACTTCCAATTACATTTTTTGCCAAAAGAAAGTCTTCAGCCAGTACGGACAATGAATTAGCAATGCTCTGCTTAACAGAAACCCATATTAGTGTTGCAAGTCTGGAAGGTAAAGACTGTTTAGCTTTTGCACTACTGTTTATCCGCTTCATATTTCACTTGTGTTGTTTGGCATTCAGGGTGGACAGCAAAGTAAGATTTTCATTGTGCAGGGAAACGCGTTTCCATACTGTGCATGACAATAAACACATTGAATCTTGAATGTGATCCAGAGGAATGTCTTTTTACTTCCTTTATTGAGTTAAAATAAATGATTTTGCATTTTGTAAATACTGTTTGATTTTCAGCTGTGTATTTGTTTGTGTAGACTGCTTTATGTTTGTGCATCTTCAGATTAAATATTGGCAATTTTATTATATGACAAAATAGGTATATCTAGGTAAGTAGGTAGGTAGGTAGGCACACATTAGTACTGTAAATCTTTTCTTTAACAACCTCACTGCAGGATATACATATATTCTATAATTTACAAGGCTGTCAGTATCCTCTTTTTATTTTCTGCTGCTGGTCCAGAAGTGTCTGCTGCAGGCTCACTTTGGCTTCTTCAAAATCTGGATTAAGCTTTAATACTTGCTGGAAGTCAATCTTGGCATCATCAAAAAAACCTGTAGGAAAATAAAACATAAATACATAATATCCATGATGTGTATTATATCTCCATACTAGTCAGCAGTTTCATTTTATAAGCAGTTTGAGCAAATGCATGGCTCCACCTAGTGTCCTAAGAAAGAACACAGTGAACTCACACCGCACACATATAACATCATCACACCCAGGACTGTGATCATTCCATAAATGAAGAATTGATTAGTGATTTTAAAATTGTAACTAATATCTAATATAATTAAAAGCCAGCTAAGAAACAGTCACTGACAAAAAGATGGATTTGATGAAAATCCATGAGAAGAGTGTAAAAATGGCCAATAGAAAGCTTAATAGTTTTAATTATAATGCTGTTGTTTTAATTTTAAACATACACTGATGCCATGTTTTCTCACTGCTAATCTCAGTGTCAATTGTGTAAGAAGCCATTTAATAGTACTCCCATAGGCAAAAATATAGGAGTTGGTCTAAGGTGTCTGAAAGAAAATCAGGCACTGTAACCAGCAGGTTACAAGCTTTTAGAGCAGCATTTTTACAGGTTTTTTTCTTCATGAATGTCTCTTTGTACTGTCCAAATCGCCTTTTGGATTAAGCTAAACTAATCCTTCTAAGCAGGCTACCAGATAAATGACAAATTAAAATTGTTTTAAAGTGTAAACTGGGCTCTCAATGAACACAATCATCCAAAATACTTCAGTGTCCCTTGACACTGATTATACAAGTGTCTGTAAATCTACTGAAAAGATGAACACCATTCGTTCAAAAGATATCCCCTGATTTCTTTCCCTCCAGTTTGGACTTGTATTATTTAGAAACAAAAATGAAGCTGAACATTTATTTTGAAAGCACTGGGCGGAAATTACAGCTTGCTGACAACGGACAGCGCAACCTAACAGTATTAATGTTTACATTTACACTTGACAAAAAGTGCCAATTCTTACCTAATCTATAGTGGATGAGTCCTCTGTTGTAAAAAGGTATTTCAAACTGACTGTCAGCATGTATTGCGTAAGTGTAATCCTCTATTGCTTCATAGAAATCCACCCGGAGGTACTTTATCTGTCCACGGTTGTTATAAGCAATGGCCAAATCATTAGCCTCGCATTGTCTGCGAAAACATGACATAGTCATAGCTCATTATTATTACAAAGAATGTAGTGTAATGATATCAACGAAACCTTAGCTAAAGGTTAGCACAATGAGGGCATATAATCTAACGGGAAACAGAATACAGTGTAACATTTACATTGGTTCTACTACTGTAGTTCAACGTTAGCTAATTTTACTTACAAGAAAAAGACAAGTTATACCTGGACTGTAAACAGGAAGAGATAAACTTTGTGTACCATTCCTCTGCTTGTTTGAAATTCTGCTTTTTAAACTCAGTGTTGGCATGGTCAAGCATTTGGGAAATATGTTCCTCCATGGCTATGATTCTGTGAAGCTTTGTTTTGCCGTATTTTTCAACTGCGGAAGTGCGGAACACAAGAGAACGTCCAATCACGTTTTTTTCGCGTCGCAAGTGGGCGTGGTCTTCAAGGCTCCTGCAATATTCATATTTCTTAATCTGTTTTGTCCTTGTAATAATTTGTAAAATAGTAACATAGATCCACATTGCTATAGCTTTTTAAAAACCATAACATAGCTAGCCTACAGTATTAAATAGCTTCAGCTCTTGCTAGTTCTTTTCATAGTAACATGATAGTATTTTAACATAAATGCACCTTTCTGTACAGTAATTTATACTGTTAACAGTTTTTGTGCCACACATATAATAAATATCATTTTTAACATACAGATATTATAGCAGTACCAATCTTTTCATCTAACTACCTGCAAGAGAAAGGTCTGTGTATGTTCCAAAATCTCCATCTATTCCTTTGTTTCAGTCTAGTGACCAGCTGAGGACAACAACTGCTAAAGCAACAAATTCACTGGTTTACCTCACATGTTTACTTCAGATATTCTTGCTTCATTTAAAATGTTCATTATGGGATGAAAGCATCAAAAACTTTTGTATACGGCCATCACAAAAACACAATAATCAATAAAACACAGCACCTAATACTGTTGTTGAAGGTTAAAGCTAATCTTAACTTGTCATACTTTAACCTCTTGGATTTTTGAAACACATTGCACTGAGCTTTATGTGTCTTTTCCAGTTCTCAGAGGGCTGTGAGTCCCATTTGTCTTCTTCCATCAAAACACCTCTCTGACCACCATGAAAGGCTCTGAAATAGCAAACAAACACAAAACAGCTGCCTGGTTAAAGGAAGGAGGGAGACGTTCCAAACCAGACTAGAGGTAAACATTGGCATGTTGACTCTCTACCTCACACAGACATTGCAGACAGAGAAGCTTTTTGTTGTCAGGAAACTAAGCCAACTCCTTCCAGAGGTCACATGATGAGCCCTTGCTTGTGCTGTCGAGGCAACACCGAAGGTGTGACAAAGGTAATGTTACAAAACCAGATGGTGGTTAGGAAACTTGTTTAAATAACTGCTCACTAAATGAACAGCTCAGTCTTGGTTAAATTTTACACTTTAATCCATCCAATTTTTGTATATTAATGGATTGAAAATGTGTTTCCCAGTACAATCCTCACATCAGGTATTTGAGATGAATGTTTTTGTGAGGTCAGAGCGAATTATAGCACATTGTTCATAAAAATGTCAAACCCGTAACATCATACTGACACAGAAATACATAGGTGGCATAGAAATGTACAGTTATATAAGAGCGACTGATACAAACCCTACAGAAACATATTTCAAAATGCTTTCACATGCTCAATGGATCCAAAGTAAACAATGGATGCATACACATCCAGACTTAGTGTCTTTTATTTTAGCTCAGTGACATCAGCCTTACGGTGGATTAGGTAAAAATGTAAAGATGTTAGACATAATAATGTGAGTATTACTCTCTAGTTGGGAGATTTAAGACAAAAAAGTGCACAAAAACTCCTTTATGATTATGTGACTGTCCAGCTTGCCTGTTTTATTATATTTATATATCTTAGCTAACATTATACTTAATAAGATTTAAAATAAAATGCTAACTTTGGTTAATATAAGAATATACTTAATGTAGAAAACCTTTTACTAATGAGTTTTTCTACTAAAATCTACATAACCAAAGTAAATCCAACCTGACATTTTAACAAATACAATGGCAAGAAAAGGTAAGTGAACCCACTGGTGCGTTCTGCATTTACAGTATGTTTAAATTTGTTTTAAAATATGGGCAGATCTTCATCTAAGTTACAGTTATGAACAAGCACAACCTATTTTACCTAATAACACACAAATCATATTGTTCTTATTCACACTGAACACGTCATTCAAACGCTCCCAGTGTAGGTTAGTGAGCCCCTAGCCTGGGCTAGTGGCATCAACAAAAGCCACCTGGAGTTAGGAGGTGTGGGTTAGAGTCAATTTGATTTAGAAAAAAAAATACTTTTTATAAGCAGAAAACCAAGTAACCCGGTAAAAGCTTTTTTGTCATTGTATACAGTACAATATATAACTGTACAAACAGGACAATACAGGAGAAACTATGCAAATAATACATACTTTTTTAAGTTATTTATCATCACACCATGTACATGTGTGTCGAGAAATTAGTATAAATTGCTTTTACAGTAGTTTCAAACCATTGCATTAATGCTCATAAAAATGTCAGATTGACTTCAGATACAGTTGCTTAACTTTCCACATTAGCTTGTAACATGAGAGATATTGGTTTATGAACCCCAGCTTCACTCAATCTGTGGCTGTGGGAGGAGGATGTCAGGAAGCAGATGCCCATGTTGCAGTAGTCCGTGGTTTGACAGGAAGCAAACTAGTCAGCCGCCACTGCAGAATGTAAATAAACAAGAGGTCAAAGTATGAGGTGGGTTGGAGGCTTTTACTACCCACCACCCATGAAAAACCTGACAGCACTTACCACTGTGTCAAGCTTTAAACCCGGCCCATCATGTTCTCCAGATGCTCTATTCTTCGTGACACATCAGCAAGTAATGTCAGTCAAGAAAACATTTACTGGCACAGCAAAATGATGAAAACAGAATGAACATAGTGGTCATGTTTCCCTCTTGAAAATAAACAAGTCACACTGTCAGCTTACAGTATATTCCAAAAACAATACCAGCAAGTACAAATAGTAAGCTGTCAGCTCAAATGAGCTGAGTAGACTGTTTATAATGAAATGTGCTCCATCTGAAACAACAGAAAGGATATGGGTGGCTGTGAGCTGCTGGATGGCCACCTGCGTCTGCCTCTGGAAAGCCACTCTGGCTTCACATTTACAGGGATCCTCAGCCACCGCTGCCACCTTCACCTCTTCGTCGGGAGAAAGCAAATTGAAAGCAAATTTGACAAGAAGTCATAGTCAAAGTCATATTTGCTTCATTAATCCGTTGTGTATTCTTACGTTTTAGGGAACATGTTTTCTTGTCCACATTCAAGACATAACCATTCCGGCACTTGCAGTGATAGGAGATGTTGCTGCTGACACAAATGTGTTCACAGTCATGTCCCTTGGCACAGTGGTCCAGACCTAGAAGAACATGAGATTAAAGGACAGTAGTGTGAAGATGGCGCCATGGGAGCAATTTCATACTGTAGGTGGTTGGCTTGTGATAGGTAAGGTAATGCCCTGCAGATGGAAAAATGACTAAACTAGTTGCTATTTGTATCTAGGATGCTGATAGGATGCTGGGCCCTATTTGTCCTACCACACAGGGTCCTCCTGAACTTAGCGGTGAGATTCTCAATATCGCTGAAGGTCTCCACATAAAAGACGTGATCCTCCAGAGGGATGCTGGCCATCTGCTGCAGGGAGCGCATGTCGGCACGGTCCACCCCGACAGCATAGATCTCAATGCCAGAGGCCCGGGCTGCTGAAGATACTTCTTCTATCTGGTCTTGAGGTCTCCCGTCCGTCACAATGATGGCCACCTTGGCGATGTTCTTGGAGTGAGGTCGGGCTCCAGACTGCTCTGTGAAGGCTTCATTCATTGCAATTTTAATAGAGAGGCCAGTCATGGTGCCAGTTGCCAAAGGCTCAGTGCGGGAGATGGCTTTCTTCAGATCCAGTTTATTGAAGTGGTCTTTGAGCAAGAACTCAATCTTGACCGTGCTGGCGTAGTTGACCACAGCTACTCTGGTGCCATCAGAGCGTACATCCAGAGTGTCGACCATGTGCGCCAGGAACATCTTGACCTTCTCAAACTCAGCAGGACGCACACTGCGAGAGCTGTCAATGATGAAGACCAGGTCCATAGGATGGCTCCTGCACTGAGAGTCTGTCTCTGGTGATCAACCAAACCATGGCAAGATTAGGTCCATTTAATACTTGTTATTCCAACAACAGAAACATTCAAACTCGTTGGTTGAACTTTCACCGTGAGACTGCCAGAAAAATCCAGACCCAAACACAGAAGTCTTTGGGATGCATAATGGACGTTCCCATAGTAACAAAAGGAAACGGTTGTGCATCACTGTTATGGTCGAATGCAGTGATGTGGTTCTGGTGAAATGATGTAGTATATCATAGGACATACTGTGCATGTTTCAGCAGCCCATCAGAGCCTTCTTGTAGTTTTTATCCTTTCATCGCATTTCCTTCGATGAAGAGGATCCTCGCTGCCCACATATAAAAAGTGGGCAAGATAGAAACGGTGTTAGGAGCCCTGCCTGCCAAATCACTTACACATACCTTACACATTAGATTATACAGAGTATCTGTAGTTTAGGCTCTGATATGCAGATTTCGTGACCTTTGGACTAGTCGGGTTAGCCATTTCCCCCTCTTTCCAGTCTTTATGCTATTTATATTTAAGAAACAGATGTGTGTGGGAGTATCTACTGATCTAACTCTGCAAGAAAGAAAATGAGTGTTTCCCAAAATATCAAACAATTCTTACTTTTTTTTTTTTAAGTAGCATGTGCATAATTTCAATAATTTTGTCAAAACATTACAAAAGATCTGCACTGGAACGAACTGACAAGCACTGGTTGAGTTGCAAATCAAACCTGACTGGTAATATTCTACCTGTCTCCTCAGGACTGACGGTGGTGATGACGCCACTTTGGGTATTGACCCATAGCATCACAGGAGCGGTGGTCTCCAGTGGCAGCACAGCAGTCGGCACCACTGGCACGATGGTTGTCAGCGGTGCCACTGTAGATGCTGGCAGAGCCGGCGGCACTGTTGGCTCTGGTAGAGCTGGCAGGACGGCAGGGGGGCGTACCACAGGTGCTGTTGGCACTGTAGGGTGTGACTTTGTTGGGCATGGACCTTTTAGTTTG